TTCAGCAGAGCTCTGTGCATGGTCTGCCCTGGAAGAGCATTGAACCATCATGCTCACTTTGAGAGGGGGCGTGTTTGTCATGAGTGATGACAAAACACACCCTCTCTGCCCCGCCCCCTTCTTAGTGGGCCGCTGTAATAAAAAAATGCCCAGGCCGAATTTTTTTCCCAGTCCGGCCCTGGTCCAGGGATATTATACCCAGACAGTAATTGATAGCTGTGCTGCAAAATGTCCTTGGAATTTTTTTTCAAATGTTGGCAAGTATGGCACTGTATCAAGGGTAATGTGTTTGTTTTTTAATAATCCCCAGTGGAAAATAATGAATCCTCCACCAGGGATTATTAAAAAAACAAAACACATTGTGTCGGGGCGGGGCTTAACATGCAGCAGGGGCGGGTTCAAACTACGGCGAGGGCGGGGTTAAATGTGCCCCCCTACTTTTGTCCCTGGCCCTACATGTGCCCCCCCTAAAAATGAATCCTAGAGACGCCACTGATGGGGACCAATATAACTAAATTTTTACTATAAATTGTGAAAGTAAATTTGGAGTTTAGAATTGCATCCAGAAACAGTCAGATATTTTTGCTAATACATGCTTACCAGCTGGTACAAATATAAAGTCACTCCAATCGCTCCATAAACCCTTTGCGTATTTGTGTCGGATCTGAATGTAATGTGCAAACTCTTGATCCAAAGATACGAGGCAAAGTTCTAGGAAAACAAAAAACAAATTTATACATCTGAATGAATAAATACTAATATTTTAGATCAAAATAGTTCATATTGAAAAAGTCAGTTGAATAATGCAATTTTTTTTAGTTATTAGATAATAGCAAACAATTTTATAACATGACAGGAGGCTTCATATTTGCATAAGTCTCTCTTTACTAGAACTCCACAGCAAAAAAACACAGAGAGTAAACAACCAATCATAAAACAGTAAGCAGACCATGTAACTCCCTTCTCAACATTCCATTTCCTCTTTCTGTGCTGCTCCGCATCAGTACAGGTCAGAGTACCACTGCCTCCTGCTAATATTAGTTGGTGGCAGTGTGACATTATTATATGTTATTATATTTACAGTTTTGATTTTATTAATATTTGGGGGACTTATTTGTATTAGTAGTTTAGGCTCTCTGTCTTATTCCCCCTGGGGTTGTGGGGAGTTTTGTTTGCCACTATTTCTGTTTGTATCCTCTCTGGGGTTCTTTCCCCTTTATCTGTCCTCTCTTATTTCATTCTACGCTTTGTAGCCCGTTTCTCCGACCTCACGGGTATTGTGCCGCTTGGCCGGCCTGTTATGTCTCCTCCGATCCCCCCCGAGCCCCGGGACCGCAGAGTATGTTGCCAGCGGTCCCGTGTGTGTGCCCTCTTCCGGTCGCGGGGTGCTCGCGATCGAGCGCACTACCCGCCGACCGTCGCTTCTGCACATGGCCGCCTACTGCAGCCGGCTTGATCTGCGGACCGCGTGTGTCCGCTGGGTGGAGGAGGGAGCGCTAACGCATGCCCCCTCCTCTGCCCGTTAGATTGATTCTGTTAAACCGTTTGTGCTCTAGGGAACAATCCCTTCCTTCCCTGCATTTAAACCTCCTGTTTAACTCTGCACAGATGGGGGTTGTGCAGGAGGATATTTATCTCTAAGTTTGTATGCACCACAAGTTTCTGCATCAACATTTCTGTGTGTCATGGGAGTTTTACACTGCATATTTACATCTGTCATATATGAGACTTACATAAGGATTTTAACACAAGGTGCCCCAGGATGTATATTTTCAAATTATGGAGCGCTCCCCTACAGTGACCCTTTATACTACTTTATGCACCACTTATAAGTGACCTGACCTGCTTTGTCTGTGCATCATTGACCGGCCTGCTCTGTCTGTGCCCTATGACTGGTCTGCCCTGACAGTGCCCTATTGATAAGCCGGCGCTGGTCCATGCCTAAATTCCTTCCAGCCGCAGGCCTAAGAAATTAAGTGGGGAGAATTTATACTTGGAGACCACTAGGAATTGTGTCCATATACATTGCTCCCGTAATAGCCAAGATGACACCTGTCATTTCTACCCCCAGGGCCACGCTACGATCAGAATATGGATGCTCCAATCCAAGATAGCTTACAGGCTATGATCAACGCGGCCGTGGCTGCTTCAGTGGCCGCTTCCATGGAGAAAGCACTCTCACGTGCACTGTCCCTAACATCCCAAGATAGGGATATAACGGAGACTCAGCACACGCTAATAGAGTCCGGTCCGGACTCACCAGACAGAGACCAGACACACGCACCTAAGCGCTACTGGAAGGGTGAAGGCCCTGAGCCAAGTACCCG